GGACAATGGTGGGAGCACAACTCTGAAAATGAGATCACCCTCCAGAGTAGAGAGCAAGCAGACCATGGTTTCGTCTCTGCAAAGTCCAGAGCAGGGAGCAGCACAACAGAGAAAGTTTCCTGAGGACAGCAGCCCAGCACCACAGGAGGAAAAAGGGATCATGGACTCCTGCAGCAAGTGTCCAAGCACTGGGCAGCATAATCTCCAAGATCCAGCCATTGGCAGGGAATCCAAAGGTAAGCTCCTTAGATATATAGTCCATGGAGATATAAACGTGGAACACCCAAGAAAGAAAAGGCCAAGCCCTCGAAACAATCTCCATGGCCCAAAAGATGTACCAGTGGATCCAGCATTACTGAATCAGATTCATAACATCCTAAGGCAAGAGTCTCTTATGAATGAAAGAGCTAAGTATTTGGGAGAGACAATCAGAAGTCTCCCACAGCCCACAAATTTTCAAAACTCCATTTTCAAAAACCCCTTAGAGAAAGGGAGACAGGAAGCACTACATGTCCCTAGAATCGGAACTCATAGTGCATGAAGAGGACAGAAAACTAGTTTTTGAAGGAATTGGGAAACAAATTGGAAGCAACTCCATCACCACAAAGAACACACACTTTTTCTAAGGCATCCCTCCCTTTTCCACCACTTCTTAATACTTACCTATGAAAAATCTTACCCCTGATCTCAAGACTGCTCCTGAACTCAAGAGAAAATGTTTTCCTCTTCTATAAAAACACAGCAATCAAGGCAGGATTTAAAAGTAAGATATGGACCCAGGTCACGGCAGGCCCTGCAGCCCTCCAAATGAAGCCACGGAGACAAGCAGCGAGAACGGGCAGCAAAGGAAGGGTAGGCTGAGCTGGGACCAAGGCATCTTGAACTTTCCACACCAGGCTTCATCTTCATACCAAACAACAGTTTTCAAGGAGAGATATATAAGAGGAACATGACTCTGGGAAACTTTTTGGCAGTATTGCTCTTACTGTAAAAGAGAGTAAAAGACAATTTGGGGACTGTTAGCAAATTTGTTTCTTCAGTGGTGTCGGGAGAGAAAAGCAACTGGGGACAAGGATGGGGGTGGTGGTGGCTACCTCTAATATCTGCCTTTTCTACAATACAAACCATCTAACAAATTAAACCAAATTGACTAGAGAACCAAGCAGGCCTCCCTTTATATCGGTCATGCCCTATGTGGAGCCTGCTCATATTTAATCAAGCAAAGACAATGCCCACTTAAGGAAGCTGAAGTTAGCCTGGCTTGCTACTGTGGAATGAAGTCTAATAAGCAGGAACAGAGGTTCTGGTTTCTTACTTTATTTATATAAATGCAATGGTCACATTGATTAGGGACAAAATACTTAACAACTTGGAAACTATGTTTTCTCATCCGTAAATGAAGACTGAGAAGGATGAGCATTTAGGATATTTTTACTGCTAAACATCCACAACCCAATTACTTTGTCACAAAGGCAGTCTGGACTATTGTCCTTAAGCAGACACTAGTCTTTTCTTTCTCCAGATGTCAGTACATATTTCAGGCTTTTTTTGTGAGGCGTAATATAAGGCAGTAAAAATCTTTTTATTGTCAATTAGGTGGTCATCAGCTAGGTATCTATGGGAAGTGGCACTTACACATTTAAATGAATTAACAGTATGACTATTAATATTAAGTTCCACGGTGACAGAAAAAGTAACCAAAGAATTCATGCCATAAACCACATGGCTAAAAAATAACTTCATGTACATGTGAAATCAGAGGCCTCAGATGAGGCCCAACACCTACTGACATTACTGCCTCCACTTCATGTGGGCCCCATGTACATTTTGTCAACTTCTTCCATGGGTTGGTTACAATGGAAGCATTCAAAGAATACATATGGTTGTGAAGAGAAACAAAAAAGCCACACTAAAATGAATAATGGGATGACAAGTGTGATGTTAGGGTAGGGCTGCAGTGAAAGTAGAAACTCAGGTACAGTGGGATCAAACAAAGTCGTCCTCACAAAATTAAAGTTACTTAAGAAAAAATGACCAATTTACTCACCACCTTCTTAAGAATACTTGGAAAACAGCTGGTTTTCCTTCTATTGCTTTTCTGAAACAAACTACATTCCTAAATGCAATGTGAGGGTGGTTGTCACTGCACAATGGAAGAAAGCGTAACAGCATCTGAATGTCAGAAAAATCTCCATCCAACATCACTGATTACATACAGGAACAATCCATACACTTTTTATTTGCAGTTTCTATAGAAATTTTAAGTCTAGTTGACAAATCGGCCCCTTTGTCTTTGCAATCATAATTTTATTCATGCATTCATTCAACAAATATATACTGGAAAACAGGGAAAGAAAATGAACATTCCTACTCTTGGAGCTAGTTCTAAGGAGACGTAGACAGGCACTATGCACTTTTGACATTTCAATAAACACAATTTAAATTTGAAAACTATCTCCATCCTCTTAGCATGTGAAGGTGAAGAACATTTTCACTGTTTGGGTGCTGGAAGCAAATATACTGGGAGCAATTTCTAAAATGTATTGTTAGGTGACAAAACAAATTCCATTTGACAGGGTCTAAATGCACACCACCCTCCTGTGTTGAGCTGGGTTCTTCCTGCCCAATCTCAGCTGAAGTTCTTGGAGGTTACCTTCCTGCTGTAGGTGGCTCTCTCTGGAGAAAGGGTATTTCCTCATCTGCCTCAAGAAAGATCTCACTGCTGACCCCACTACTACTGGGAAGTGGAATTCAGCAGTGTCGGGCATAGTGATAGGGCCTAAAAGGGAAATAACCCGAGGATAATTTTGTGGACAAAAGGAATTAAAGCTTATTTTGCTGCAACAAGAAAACCTGAAGTTCATGAATAATTTTTTTTCATAAGACATTTCCCATCAACTTCTTGAAGACCCCTTATATATACCCTCCTTAATAGCTAAAGTGAAAGTTCAGATTCAGGGATGAGTGTTAAGCCAGCAGTATGCAGACAGTATGGAGGTGGGTGGGAAGTTTCTGAGACACTGTAATTGTGTGGCTCCACAAAGCACCCTTATATTTGGCTCTAGGCACCAGGTATGCCCATGAATAAGACAAAGGCCCTGTACACATGGAACTTAGTCTAGTGCAGCAGACAAAAATTCGCAAGCCAACTAATCTGTGTAACTCTAACATTTCCAAGGATTTCCTTGACCTTCTCTCCTCCCTTTTTAATCCTTCTCCCTAGTGATAATGTTCCCGTCAAAGGGTTCAGCTATGATTTACAAACTGGAATCGTAAACTATCTTCTTCGTAGGCTTCTCTCTAGACAAATTTGGAACTGCTTCCGGACAGTTCACTTTGGCTATTTCAGACACTTCAACTAAATCATGACACAACGGGATTAATTCCACAACCCCCCCACCCCCATCCCACTCTCCCAAGCCTGCTCCTCTTTTATATAAACTCAACATCATCACTACCCATCTGATCACCCAAATGGGAAATTTGTACTCATCTTTGACTCTTCTCCTGGCCAAGACTGTATGACTATGAAGTTTACAAGTTCCAGTCCCTGTCTTGGACTGTGTCTTTCCTTCTATACTAAAGTGGATCTGCCTTTCTAGAATTAACACAATAATATCCTCACTTTGAAGTGCACATGGGGACTTAGATTCTTCTAGTTTATTATCTGATAATGCTTTTGCTTCTCAGTCTGTAAAATAAATTCCAAAGTCCTTGGCATGATCTGCAAGAACTTCTAATCATTCTGATTCTTTCTAGTCTGACACTAAGGTAGTCTGACACTAAGGTTCAATGAATTGTCTACCTTACTACTATACACCTCCTCATGTGTTAAGTTTTAGCTACCTTCATCACCTGTCTGAAGTTTTTGAACCCAAATTCTTAGTCCAAATTGTACTTTTACAAAGTTTTATAACCTTTACTGGATTGCACGTGTCTGGCTCAATCTGCCTGAAAGAGTCCTTATTTCAATGAAGCAGTCTTGAGTCACTCCAACACTCTGAAAAATTGAATTCAACAAGCATTTTGCCCTGGTAATGGTAATAAAAACATTTCATACTTCAGTTGGAATGGGATCATAAATATCATAATCCTAAGTATCCTTTAAATCCTTTCCATTGGTCTGGTTTACTGAATCATGAAAACTGTGATGGTGGTAGAAGAGGTCTACAGACAACACAACTTTTTTTCCATTTGGAAGCCTACTCCATGGATTTTTCTAGGGATGAAACCTCAGCCCATATAGCTTTCCTAATCACTTTCAGGCAATAAAGGACCCTTTTCTGGATATTAAAGAGCCCATACAAGTGAAACATCAAAATGCCAAACTATTCTCATTCCCCTTTACCTTCTTTCCATTCTAAGGTTTATTTCTGACCCTTCTGAAGGAAACAGAATTAGAAAAAAAAAAAAAAAATCCTGCCTTACCCAGTTACTATAGTGTCTTGGTACTGGACACAAGGGGTTAGTAACTTTTTTCCATGGAATACCTGCTGCTGAAAACCATAAACAAAATTCTCTGGCATGGCTGGCCATTTCCAGCCTCTCCTCCCAACAGCCTCTACTCTGGATAGCACTCAGCTGCTGGTAGCCAGCTTCTAGAAAGCCCACATGAGAAGGGTGTGCTTCAAGATGGTAAACAGTCCATCTCTTATGGCAACCAGCTGTGGCCACAGGAAGCATACACCAAATACCTTCATTGCTGGAAGTGCCCTTTATTCAGCTGCCAGAGGCCACTGCAGACATGGCTTACTTTGGGACCTTTTCCACAAGCTACCACTCCTGCATAGCCCAAGATGTAAAAATCATACACCAAGGTCTCAAAGTTCATTTGAAACAAACCTCACTGTGTTTGAAGGCAGGGGAAGTTCCCAACTCACTGTATGAGGACCAACATTACCCTGATTTCAAAACCAGGTAAAGAAATAACAAGAAAATCAGACCAATATCCTTTATGAATATAGATGCAAATATTCTAAACAAAATACCAGCAAACCAAATCCAGCAGCATAGAAAATGGTTTATATAGCATGGACAAGTGAGATTATTCCAGGAATGTAGATTGGTTCAATATACAAAAATCCATCAATGTTATACAACATATCAATAAAGGACAAAAACTACATGACAACCTTAATAGATACAGAAGCATTTGACAAAGTCCAATACCCTTGTTGATAAAAACACTCAACAAACTAGGAACAGATAGGAATTTCCTCAGCTTGAAGCATCTATGAAAAACCCACAACTAACATCATACTTAATGGTGAAAGACTGAATGCTTTCCCCCTACAATCAGGAACAAGTAAAAGATGGCTGTTCTTGCCACTTCTATTTAATATTTTACTGGAGGTGCTGGCCAGGGCACTTGGGCAAGAAAATAAAATTAAAAGAATCCAGATTGGAAAGAAAGAAGTATTTCTATTCACAGATGCATGATCTTGTATATAGAAAATCTTAAGCAATTAAAAAAAAAGTATTAGAATAAATGACTTCAGAAAAGCTACAGTATACAAGATCAGCATACAAAATCCTTTGTATTTCTAGACATTAGCCATCAATAATTCAAAAATGAGAATTAAGAAACAATTGTTTGTAATAACACTAAAAAGAATAAAATAGGAAAAAAATTAACCAACGAGGTCAAGATTTGTACACTGAAATCTATAAAACATCACTGAAGGAAACTAAAGACCATAACAATGGAAAGACATTCTATGTTGCGGGAACTGAAAAACTTAATACTGTTAAAATAACAACATTCCTCAAATTTGCGTACAGATTCAACACAATCACTATAAAAAATTCCAGCTGCCTGTTTTACAGAAATTGACAAATTGATCCTAAAATTCATATGGAATGCAAGGGACCTAAACAGACAAAAATCACTTTGAAAAAGAACAAAGTTGAAGGACTCACACATTCCAAATCCCATTAAAAGCTACAATAATCAAGACAGTGCAGTACTGGAATAAGATACACATATAGAACAATGGAATAAAATTGAGTTCAAAAATAAAATTTTATATATTTACAGTCAACTTTTGTCATGGATGCCAAGACCATTCATAGGGGAAATGACTTTTTGACAACTGGTGCTTGGACAAACTAGATATTCACATACGAAAGAATGAAGTTGGACCCCTATATGCACCAAATACAAAAATGGACCAAAGACCTAAAACTAAAAGCTAAAACTATTAGATGCTTGAAACAAGCACAAATCTTCATGACTTGGAATAGGCAATGGTTCCTTAGATATGACACCAAAGCACCAAGCAGCAATAGGAAAAATAGGTGATTTGGACATCAAATTAAAAAGTTTTGTGCTTCAAAGGAAACTATCAAGAAATGAAAATACCACCCACAAAATGGGGGAAAAATTGCAAATTATTTACCTGGTAAGGGACCTGTAATCCAGAATATATTTTTTAAAACCAGTAATAAAAAGACAACTGAATTCTTAAAAATAGACAAAGGATCTCAACAGACATTTCACCAAAGATATACAAATGACAAATAAGCACATAAAAGATGCTCAACATCATTAGTCATTAAGGGAAATACAACCAAAACCATGACATACCACTTCACCCAACTAAGATAGCTAGAATCACAATGAGATAAATGTTTTGGCAAAGATGGGGAGAAATTGGAACTCATATACTGCTGGTAGGAATGTAAAATAATGTAGCCATTTGGGATAAGTTTGGCAGTTCCTCAAAGGGCTGAACATAAAGTTACAATATAACCCAGCAATTCCACTTCCAGGTATATAACCTAAAGAAATGAAAACTCAGGTCCACATAAAAACTCATACACAAATGTTCATAGTTGTAGTATTAAAATGGAAACACAAGCATCCATCAACAAATGTACCAACAAAAAATTTGGTATGTCAATACAATGACATTCAGCCACAGAAAGAAATGAAGCACTGATACATGCTACAAAATCAATGTACCTTGAAAGCATTATTCTAAGTGGGGCAAAAAGACACAAAAGGCCACATATTGCATGATTCCATTGCTATGAAAATGTCCAAGACAGGCAAATCCATATACCCATATACAGAATGTAGATTAGTGGTTGTCAGGGGCTAATAAGCAGCAGTCACTCCTAATTTGTGCACAATTTCTTTCTGTAGTGATGAAAATGCTCTGGAATTACATGGCAATGACTGCACAATACTGACTATACTTAGAATTACATTTTAAAAAGGGTTACTTTTTATGGTATGATTACATCTTAAAGATCAGGGAAAACATTCTTCCATTCTGAAGTGGATGAAGGAAATTCAATTCCTGCAACCTCTCAATAAAGACTCTCCCTTCTCTTTATTTCTTAATGTTGGGAGAATCCATCTCAGTCTCTCCAGGATGTCTTGCAAGATGTTATCTAGCATCTGTATTTCAATTTCATTGAATCCTGACAACCAGTGATAAGGTACGATTGGGTATAATTTAAGCCATAGGAATGGCAAGGCAAGGACTCAGTTATCAGACTGCAAAGGTTTCACCCTCAACACTGTATGCTATTTACCAGGCAAATCCCATTCCATTTCCTGTTGGTTTTCAGTGGACTGGATAATAATTATTCCAGGTACTGTTTGGCTGAACCTAGGAATCTCGAGTTTTGGCGACAGGAAGATATTAGATGGGCAAAGGTTCAGCCCTGTTTGATGGCTTTGTGGCTTGGGCAAGGGGCATGCATGGGCCATAGGGAACCATTCCATAAAGACTAACAATCGTATCATATAAACAAGGTACTTGGCGTGCACTATAATTTAGGTCCTGTGAGATCCTAACAGGGTTACAGTTAGGAAGTATGAGAAAATGTTAAGTGTGGCTCTCACATAAAGCAGGCATTCATCACGAGTAGTGCTTGATTTAGCAAGGAAAGCAGCGTTTGGCTGAGTATTGCTCCTTGACAGATTTGAGTCGCTGGCAACAGGACAAGACGGTTGACCCCATCTCCCCTGGGTGATACAGGATGAGAATTGTTAGAGAAGGTGATCACGTTATCAGAGTTTGTTGCCAGAGCACATCAGAAGTGTAGGGTGGGGAAAATCATGCCAAAATCTTGCTGTCATGGACTCAGACCTTTTCATCCTTTGTATTGATCTTCCTTTCTACAGCTTGAAAGGACAGGGATTCCACTTCCTCAGTGAGAATATTCTTAATTACTAAATATTAAGTCAAAAGCCTCTGTGGGGGGGAGGAGGAACAGAGACTGACTTTAGTGAAAAATTAGCAAGCTTCACTGAGCATTTTAATGCAGGGAGGTCATTTCCAATTACTGAGTAGTAAGAGGTAACTTGGGAAGGGATGTGAGGGGATAGAGCCAAACTTTTAACTAAGTCATTTATGCATCTACTATGTGTGTAAGAAGCAGAAAGATTAAAAAAAAAAAAATCTTGACCATGAATATGTTTATACTCCAGGCAGTGGTTACATACCAAAAATAAGCAGAAGCTTCATAATCGAACCTAAATGTGGATAGGATCTTAGCAAGAACGGCCAGAGACAGTGAGAATCTCAGTTGACTCCTCAGTGTTCAAATAAAAAATATGTCCCACCATGCTGTGCTATCATGGATGTGTGGGCTGCTCTGAGGTTTTGGAGGCACTTTGGGAGTCAATAAATCTTTACTGGCAAAGTGCTTTTGAAATTTGGTCTTAAGGGGGATCTAAGAAATACAAGATAAGCATGAGTGAAGATGCTAGGTAAGATGCCTTAGGAATAGAAGGCAAATTGGAAAGGTAGATGAAGAGCATTGAATGCCAGAATTGCAGAGTGAGTCTTGGGGTAGGGGTTATTAATAGCAGCAAACCTGTACTTCAGCAGAATGGAAAAGAACCAGAGAAGGAGGTGGAAAGAGTCAGGAAGTGAAGTTATCAGCCAAGAGCATCCAGATGAGTCAGAAAGTCAGGGCCTTAATCTAAGTATAATGAAGGAGAGACAATAAAGATTTGAAGGGAAAGGATCAATACCTATGACAGTTAAAGAACAGCATTTTGATGAGGGAAAGGTGACACCTTTAAGGAAGAAGCAAAGAATGGTTAGCAGAGATGCAAGATAACAGCTTCATTTTCAGGTAGATTCACTTTGAGGTGCAAGAAGGACATCCTGGAGATCGAAGTCTGGGCAAGAAATAGAGAAATCAGGGTTTTTGGGAGTTACTGAGGTTGACAAGGGACACACAGGGAAGTTCACACATGAACTTTATGTAGAACTGGAGAAGATCCACCTAAGATCTGTATACCTTGGAATGGAAAAAGGAGTCCATGTTTAGGATGTCATTAAAGGTTAAAGACAGGACGGCTGGCGCCATGGCTCACTAGGTTAATCCTCCACCTGCAGAGCCCGCATCCCATATGGGTGCCGGGATCTAGTCCCGGTTGCTCCTCTTCCAGTCCAGCTCTCTGCTGTGGCCCAGAAAGGCAGTGGAGGATGGCCCAAGTGCTTGGGCCCTGCACCCACATGGAGACTGGGGCGAAGCAGCTGGCTCCTGGCTTCGGATTGGCGTAGCTCTGGCCGTGGTGGCCATTTGAGGGGTGAACCAACAGAAGGAAGACCTTTCTGTCTTACTCTGCCTGTCGAAAGAAAAAAAAAAAACTAAAAAAAAAAAAAAAAAAAGGTTAAGGACAGGAGTTTCTGATTGTGTAATTATGAGATTATGTTTGAGGAATACATCTTCAGAGAAACACCACTGGATGAGCAGCCTTTCATACAATGAAATCCACCCACATGTGCATCAAAATATTTTTGTGGTAATCGTGAATAAATGCCAACCCTTTGATCTGAACAGGGAGGGGAGGAAAAAGCTTGATCTCAAAACTTACTACCCTCCCTCCTCTCCAGGAAATTCTTTACACCCTAACAGGGTGAGTAAAAGGAGGCAAGACAAAAAAGGGAACAGGTAGAATCTGTGTTGATTCTTTGGTGATCCAGAGAAGGTTGGAGAAAGTCCTTAGGCTGATGAAAGGTCAGAAAACATATTTTTGAGTTAAGCAGACAGGCGATCAAGATTACAGATAGAGTAGCCATGAGAAGACAAATAGCATGAATTCTTGAAAAAAATTCCTGAAAGGGGCATGAAATCCCAGCATAGCCATGTTCTTATGGCAACAGGGTGTGCTATTGCCCAGGTATGTTTGTTGGGTTGGCTGTGGAAGAATGAATGAGTAGCATCAACACATTCTTGATCTGAAGCCTTATTTTTCTTTTTTATATGTATCTGTACAAACGCATGTATCTCAAAGCTAAAGATACTGTAACTGGATTTTATCATACATTAATCACAGCCCAAGAAAGCAGAATACAGAGTAAGGGACACCAAACTTATATACTGGAGCTGCCAGGCTTCAGAAAAAGTATAGCCACAGCTGTGCTTTAATGTTTCATGTAGGACTATTCTGTAATAACATAAGGCAAAGGAAAGTTTATGGTAAATTTTATCCCCCAGAGCTTCCTGTAGACTGTGGGCTGATTCAAAGAAAATCAAAATATATAATGGAATTTCTAAGCAAAAAAGTACTTTTATAACATATTTGGGGTACAGAGTGTACCCATCATACTAGACTACAGTCAAATTTACTTCTCAAGATATTTAGTGACATTTAGTGAATTGAAAAGGCAGTAATGATAAGAGAGGTGATAACATGCTCAGGATAACTATCATTAAGCAAGTGGGAACTACTTGTCTACAACCAGTGATTACTCTTAATAAAATTTTAAGGATAGTTGGCTCTTTGTTAAAAGTCTACCTGTATGTGATCACCTATATTCAATTATTATTTAAAAACATTTCATACAGACATTATTCCAATTGTAGAACTCTAATACTGTAGTGATAAAACTTAAGAACTAAAGAGCACAAATTTCTTCACCAATTTATTTTATAAAATGTCCCCATTAATACTCAATTTTTCTTCTTCTCACATTATACATCAGAAGCACAGTGGATGAGAGGTCCTGGATTAAGATGCTATCATCATGTGAGGGTCCCTTGCTTCAAGTAGTATACATACCTTTACAGTGTTCTAACAGTTGGCCCAGAAAAACCCCACGTTACCTTATCACAGTATGGAAAGCATTATCTTCTTTATCCATTAAATTGTGAAAATGCCACTGTTTTATTAAGTGTTATGGTACATTAACAATTCTCTCTCAATTACTTAAAGAATTAAAATAATCCTGAAAGACATCCTTTTTCCCGTCCACTGATTCGATAGCAGTATTTTTCCTACGAATTTCAAACAAATCATCAGGCTGATCTGCAGTAATCAGTTAAAACAATCAAGGCACAAGCTCAGCACATTAGCTGTAGCTTGTCTTAAAAGGATATATCAGTATCTCTCCTTAGTTAAAAATACATAATCCTTTTATTTCATAATGCAATAAAAGAAAATAACATCACAGACACAGAATATTAGGAAAGGGAAAACTACTTACTTCTGAACAGCCAGCAATTTAAACCTATTTGGACTTTTTCCACCCACAGTATATGAAAGTGATTCTAACACTTTCTGAAGCAAATTTAATCTTTGGGGACACACAACGTAATTCTTAGGAGTAATAGCTCCATTCCTTTCCAGGTCTACTTACTGTCTAAGTAACACAAGGCACAGTAGCCATCCTTTCCAATATGCTGCAACACTGATCATGTGCCTTGCTAAAACAGTTGATTAAACAAAATGATGGAAACATGAAGGGGAGACTTTGGATTGTCTATTTAAAATCTAGGTAATAACTAATAAAAAGTTTAAGTGCACTTTCACATGCTTTTTTTTTTTTTTTTTTAAATAATAAGCAACTTCCTAACGTTGTTGAAATAGGCTGGACTACCATTTCATTTGGCCAAATGCACTTTTCCCAGTAAACTTAACAAGAACAACAACAAAAAAAATCTGTGTCCTTTCATATACTAAGAAAGGATTGGCTACTCAAACAGTTGGTTGCAAGACACATGAAGACAACATACTGTGGCATGAGTTGTTTTTAATTTGTTGTGCTGTTACTAAAGTTCTGAGGGCTGCAGTTAAAACATTCCAAGTTCTCCCTTCCATCTTTATTAAATCTTAAGATTTTGCACAGAAAACTCTGGGGACTAGAACAGCAGTAATTGCATCACACTGTTTCAAAGACTTCAAGTTTCAAAAGCAAATTGTTAAAAAAAAAATACAGTTCCTGATTTGTGTTAGATAACAGGGACAAAAATAGCACACACTTGAAGGTTACATGGTCTACAAATGGTGGCAATGTTTTCCTTGGGAGAGTAGTTTTGTTGGTATATATATTTTAAATACTCAAAAAGGCTCAACCTCAAGCAGTAATAAACACAAGCAAAAGTGATTTAACCCTTAAAATAAATATTCAGAAAAACCTCTCTGTACATACAAGTGAAAGAATATGTAACACTTTCACGCAAAAAAATAATTATAATAATAATAAAGGATTTGTTCATATATGTAGCTGAAATCTGCTGTTCCAGCCCACATGTCCCCAATAAAGAAGGGAGGCACAGACAGAGGTGACTACTGTGGTTCACTATCTTACAGCCTTTTTATACTGGGACACTATCACAACCAAATTTATCCCTCTTATTATATTTATTAAAATTTAATTTTTTCTTCCTTTTTTTGTTTGTGTTTTTATTTTGATTTACAGCATGCCAAATCCTTTGGCATATGTGATGGCCTTCAACAATCTCTCTTTAAGCTTTTCTTTGCTTGAATATTCCGGAAGTAAAAGGACATTAAAGCAAGTATGAGATGTAGGTAACCTAAATAGAGAGAAAGGGGAAAAACAGGAAAATAGTAAGTCATGGGAAATATGCTCAGTATTAAATGATCCTATTTTTAGATGGTATACACAGTTGAGATGGTTTGCAATACAGACTAGACATTAATGCAATGCTTAAACTTCACTGTCCAACTTGCAAGAATCAGCCTGTCTTCTATAAATTATTCAATGCTACGATGATGATGATGATGATAAAATATTGCAGTAACTGATTTTAGTATACAGCAGCTATTGGTTTAGGTACTTAACCCCTGTAGTTCATTTAATAAATTGTCTCTTTCAATAAATTTACAGAGAACTGCTATCAGTAAACCCACATTAGAGTTGGCTGAATTACTGAGAAGTAACTAAGGTGGAGAAAATATCCAGAACTGGTTTTCATGTTTCAAAGTCTGTGCCTTTTTAATGCTTACTAGAAATATTGGCAGCAGTCTATGAAAATGATTTAATAACAAATATAAACAAACTTACATTAGCACTATGATGTGTCAAATAATGTAAAATCAATACAAATGGGTGAATATCTATACATTTATACAAATATGCTACTGATCATGTATGATACCTACCCCAGTATGTGGACAGAATACAATGAAATGCCAACATTATAAAACCATGGATTCAAGCATGATCTAACACTGAACAATCTCCTAAGCCTCAATTTAATTCTAAATACATTATTATATAATATAGTCTTCAATTAACAAATGGTGAATCAAGTCAATATATATTAATTTGAAAAACTTCAAACCAATATGCCTCAATTTAAGAAAAGTTTCCTCAAACAAAACAGCAAAATATTCTCCACTGTTTCATATGATTTAGATATCTCTATACAAAATCACAAAGTTCTCAGAAGCTACAAGGAGAGTTCAGATGTCTATGTGGAATGGAATTTTAAGGTGTTTAAATAGCATATAATGATGATTTAATAATTACCTTTCTGTGTCTGGGCCATTTTTGGCTATAATCATCTTTAATTTTCCTAGTCCTCCCACAGGTGCTCTGTCTGTACCAGTTGTAAACTGCAAGAAGAGTCTTTTTTGCTCATCTGTAAATGAATGAACGATTTCCCAGAACTCCCTAATGAGAAAAGATAAAATACTTATTTTAGTTTTGCGATTATTATTATAACTAGTACTAGTAAGATTATCTTTCTTAAAATCATATTAGGAAAAAATTTAGAAGCCATAGAAAATATAAAGAAATTCTATTTATGCAAAATTACCTTAAGGAATCAGTTCTAAATAAATAAAACTTAGGTTTTCCCAATTTTTTACTGTTGTAAATAATGTAGTGATAAATGTATCTTACAACAGATGATTATGTTAACTATGATGCAATCACAAAGTGCGGTCATAAACAATCTTGTCAACTGAAAAAGAGTGCTAGGTATACTGTTTATATTTTGTTTTCTTCTCTTCCCTAAAATAGCAGCAAAACAAAAGTATATAATTTCATATAAAATAAACAACTTTTATCAAGTTGGGAATTATTTTTTTTCTGTCATATGCACTATAAGACAATGATTTAACCTCCAACATTCCCAAAACCTGTGTAATGAAGTCATGTTATAATGACAAGTTATTCTGAGTTCTACAAAGAAAAATGAAAGTTCATATATGCAAGCTAGGTATAATCACCAATCCATAAAATATATACATACATCCAAATTCACATCTAAAAAATTCCAAGTTTTAGAAAAAATACTTTTTTTTTTTTTTGACAAACTAAGAGAGTTAGACAGTGAGAGAGAGACAGAGAGAAAGGTCTTCCTTTTTCCGTTGGTTCACCCCCCAGGTGGTCGCTACGGCCAGCATGCTGCGCCGATCTGAAGCCAGGAGTCAGGTGCTTCCTTCTGGTCTCCCATGCGGGTGCAGGGCCCAAGGACCTGGGCCATCTTCCACTGCACTCCCAGGCCACAGCAGAGAGCTGGACTGGAGCAACCAGGACAGAATCCGATGCCCCAACTGGGTCTAGAACCCGGGGTGCCGGCACCGCAGGTGGAGGATTAGCCTAGTGAGCCGCGGTGCTGGCCAACATGCTTTGTTAATATTCATTAGAAAGTTCTCAGAATCCTGGCAGAGAATATCACACTTTCAGGAGGCAAATTGGTAGGTGTCACTGAAAAGAGAAAACAGACCCTGAAGGAAGTACCAGAGTAGTAGTCTGGTCACACTGACCAGCTTCATATGGATATACTACTGAGATTCTGTTTTTAAAAATTATCACTTGAAAATTGAGGTTTCTATCAATTTTATATAATAAAAACAATCACAGAACAAAATTCTATTCTTCCTATGTTATGAGCTAAGAATGTACCCAATTTGATAACTGAACAGGAAATGCAACAGTTTCCAGATTTCTACAAAAAAAGTGGTAGCTACATGGATCTCACCTTACATCTGAAAATCCATTCAGATCAAAAGCAGGGGGACCATAATCTAGAGTAAAACTAGGAAATACTGCTGTAAACAAACACCAAATGTCATGTAGGCAGCAGAGTTCACATTTGAGTCACATTGGCAAAGTCCAGCAGAAGCTATGTTGAAGAGCAGGTGTGCACAGAAAAATACTAGTTAGGATTCACCTCATGTCAGAGCTACACCCTAAGAGACAACTACTGAGGTCAGGATAGAGCACTGGCAACAGAATAGTTAAAAGGAAGGCTCATAGCAAAAGCGCTGCTACCAGAAATGGCAGTCTATAATATCTGCAAGAGGGCAGAGGGATCCCTTCAAAATAGCTTTTGGTTATAAAGGAATGGAAGTGGCTGATGAAAACGAGCCTTAATTACGTAAGATCTACTAATGGCAAGTGCAGGAAAAAAAAATAACATACAGAAACATAAATGAGAAAAAGTATCAAAATCCAAATAAAGAGATGAAAATCATCTCACAGATGAGAATCAAAATTTTCTGGCTGCCAAAAGTACACCAGAAGAATTCAGCAGTGAACAATGGAAAACTTGTAATACTGTATTTCGACATGAAGGAAAATTGCAACATTGTATAGGAAAGAACACCACTGATAAGAAAAGGAAAATTCAAAGAGAGACAAATCTGAAATATAAATGGGAATACTCCAAAACACTAAAGAAATACGCAAGGTATCTGTGGAAATACAAGTTAACTTATGACCAAAATTTCTAATGCATTTACAGGGACCAAAAAATTAATAAAACTAAACTATTAAAGCGGAGTAATGGAAAAGACTTGCTAGGTAACTATATAAACACACACTTGTACCTGGCAAAAAAAAAAAGTCAAAAGACAAATGAGAAACTAGGAAAAAATTGTGCAAACTTATCAAAGTTGAAAGGCCAATTTCCCTACATCTAAGTTTCTGTAAGTGATGACAGAAGCATGAGCAGAAGACTACATAAAAAATACAAACAGTTCAAATATAAGATTCCATCTTCAAATTCGTAACAGCACTGAAATACCATTTCTCAACTGGGAGATAAGTAAACATCAAAGTTTGATTAGGAAGTTTTAGGAAAAGAGATATTCTCACATTCCATTGGTGGTATTGGGCAAAATGTTACAATTCTGTGAAGGAGAATTTGGCACTCCGCATGAAAATGACATATGCATCTACCATTTGATACAACAATCTAGCATTCATTTTAGCAATTTATTTTAATGACACCAAACATATGTATGGATTGATAGCTACACAAGAGAATTCACTGTGATATTACTACTAATAGCAAAAGGTTGGAGATACCACAGTATTCATAGGTATTAATAATCTATACTGTATCCACACAATGTGGCAGATACCTCTGCACTGATATGGTATGGCTTTCAGGGTATCTTGGAAAAACCTTCCTCCTGTCTGATAATAACATTCAATAGCAAATTTCATACTTTTTACCCAAAATTTGACTTCTAAATGCCAATTAACAGGACTAGGATGAGAAAGTTCAAAGGTGAGCACAAAGTGCCAAAACCTAATAGGGTCACATTAAAAGCACAATAAGTCCAAGCTAAGAGTAATGACTTTGAGACAAACTAAATTTTTTACCCTTAAATTCATAATACTATTCAAAAAAGAAATCAAAACCAACTAAAAAATTCAATTATCTTACTCTAAATATTTAAATACCTTTTACCATGCCTTTTCAGTAGAACTGTTCTTCAAGGTAATCAAATAGCACCAACTGATGAAGAAAAAGAATGACAGAATGGTGTATATGCAGGACAACCAGATTTTGGGGGGGAGGGGGACAGATTCAGGTAATTATACTAATGGACACTAAAAGCAGGCAAAAGACGGGAATTCTGGAAAGACAACTGTAGCACTGACCATTATTTTGCTTTTGCTCTTCTCTCTTCCAAATCTGCCCCAGAAGAGCAAACTGGATGGGACAACCAAAAGCCCACAGACATATTAATAATAAAGCTGGACAATAAGGTATATCTTATAACCTCATTATTTGTGAGTACTTCTAAATATTCAGGGAAAAATGGAATAAAAAGATCAAATTGTTTCAGTGTATACTTTTATGCATTCTCCACAAACTTTCTGAGAAAAACATGGAATCCAAAACCTTTACCATCAAAATAAACTTTCATAATCCATGAAATTATATGTTCCCTCGTAAGTGAACAGGAACCAAGCACTGACAGCTAAAAGGCCTCGTTGCTATCAGCATCAGTGCGTAAAGATGCAGAGAGAAGGTAACTAATTAGGTTACTTGAAGTTCTCGACAGAAGAACCAGAAAACTGCCAACCTGCTGGAAAGCACAGGCCACTTTGAGAAAAGCGGTTAAAAGTTGGAGTTATACAGGATCCAACTTGTAGGTGATTGCAAAGAGATCACAATGTAATGAGCCCTGGGCCCTTGAAACTCTTGAACACCATTAAAACCCCCTTCTAAAGCAAATTGCACATCAAGAAGAAAATGCAGGGAACATATCAAATGGACCAGCTCAAACATAATTAAGAGAAAGCAAAGTTCAAATATATATGTGAAGTTGGGGGATAAAGAAGACAATTTCAGAAAGGACAAGGCTTTACTTTTTATCATTTTACAAAAAACATAGAACTCTGCTTCTAAAGGAAGAGAAGTAATCATGGCCGCATCTTTCCCTGTTATTTTACTTAAAAAAAATGAGTAATGAAAAATGATCATAGCTAAACAGCAAACAAGTTGATATTGGGATAAAAAGCAAGTATATATGTGCATAAGGATGATGCTCCTATAGAGAATCAAAGTAGCAAAACATACACCAATGAAACCTGAACAAATTACAAACGGAGCTAAAGTAAATTCTACAAATAAGAGGCTTTATAAAAGAACAATTCAGTCACAAATGAAAAGATGTGCCCAAGGTTCCCCTTCCTGATCCTGAGACACGTGCTGCTGAGCAGTTGCAGGTGGAATTCCACTCGAATCTGCCTTGGTCCTAGAGTGCTCTCTTTCTCTTGAGAACCTCAGAGTTCCTTTCTTCCCTATAGACACCACCTGGTCAGGCGCACTACTAGGTATAAGGCAGATATTGCCACAACAGGCTCATGATGCAGTCACCAGTCCATAGAGAGCTGGAGGGGAAGCTCTTCCCTGACCCAAAGGCCACACACAGGGGCCAACCATGTGCTGAAGCTCCACTTCAGATCCAGCTCCATGCTATGGCCTAAGAAAGCAGTAGAAGACGGCCCAGGTCCTTGGGCCCCTGCACCTGCATAGGAGACCCGGAAGAAGCTCCTGACTCCTAGCTTCAAACTGGCCCAGTTCTGGCCATTGAGGCCATTTGGGGAATGGACAAGCGACCAGCGGATGAAAGTCCTCTCTCTCTCTGGCTCTACCTCTCTCTGTAACTCTGCCTTTCAAATAAATAAATCTTTAAAAAAAAAATAAAACACACCCACAGTTCATCCTTAGAGGCATGCCAACCAAGGAGCACCAGCAGCTATCAGTCAGAGTCCCAGTACAATGAGATAAATAGTGCAAAACAAAACAGCACTGAAGAGGAGTTCTCTGAATACTGTCATTGGAATCACAACCCATAAAAGTACACCAGGACCTGTGTGCCAAACTTCAACATGACTGCCAGTGAAAGTAAAAAAGTTTAAATAGGACCCAAAGTATGTGATATAATAACCAAGAATCATCCATCATACCAAGAGCTGGGAAAAATGAAATGAAAGAAAACCACTACACAAGGATGAACAAGATGTTGGAATTAACTGACAAGAACTTTAATGCAGTAATATTAAAAAATGATTTGATAAGTAATTACAAATTCTACTGTTTCACAAATATAACAAAATCTCAGCAAAGAAACAGCTGTTACAATAAAAAGGCAAATGGAAATTAGACTTGAAAATACAGTTAAAGCAAAATGGTCACTGAATGGGCTCTACAGTAGAGTGAATATGACAGAAGAGAGAAATCTGAACAACAAAAAAAGACTAAAAAATAAACTGAGCTTTAAGTACACATGGAACAGTAACAAATGATTCAACATTCATTTAATAACAGGACCAGAAGAAAGCAGAGAATGGTGCTGATACAGCTTTTGAAGAAATGATGGCTAAAAACTATCTATGTGGGGACAGCGTGATGGCGTAACAGATAAAGCTGTCACCTGCAGTGCAGGCATCCCATATGGGTGCCAGTTCGAGACCCAGCTGGCTCCACTTCTGATCCAGCTCTCTGCTATGCCTGGGAAAGCAGAAAAGGATGTCCTTGGGCCCCTGCACCTGAGTGGGAGACCTGGAAAAAGCTCCTGGCTCCTGGCTTCAGATCTGCACAGCTCTGGCCATTGCGGCTGTATGGGGAGTGAACCACCGGATGGAAGACTTCTCTCTTTCTCTCTCTTCTCTCTGTGTAACTGTGACTTTCAAGTATAATAAATCTTAAAAAAAAAAAAAAAAAAAACTATGTGGCAAATGACCCAAACCCATTAAAGCTGAGCAAACCCAAAATAACATCTCTGAAAGTATTTATTAGGAATAAAAAGATAATAAACTCAGCATCATACAAAGAAAAATTAAAATATATCAACAGATCCGCCTTTGAAGACTGGCTAAGGAAATTATAAAATATGAAATCCTGGAAAATAGACTGCCACTCCACTAACAGTTCTACAGAGCATATTTGATAACTGACGCAAAGCTATAAAAACTGTAATACTCAAGAGAAAAGTATTTAAATTGGAAATGAAAGCAAGGTTTCTATATTTCAAAGTGGTGCTGAGGGTCCAGCACTGTAGCTAAAAGGTAAAGCAATGTCCTGCAGTGCCGGCAGCCCATGTGGGCTCCAGTTCCAGTCCTGCTGCTCCACTTTCAATCTAGCTCTCTGCTATGTCCTGGGAAAGCAGGAGAAGATGGCCCAGCTCTGGCCATTGTGGCTATTTGGAGAGTAAACCAGCAGATGGAAGACCTGTCTCTCTCTCTCTCTCTCCCCTTAATCCCTCCCCTCCCTCCCTCCCTCTCCAACTCTGCCTTTCAAAAAATAAATCTTAAAAAAAAAAAGCAAAGCAGTGCTGATACCAACAAACAGTGGTAAGTCACTCATGTATGAAGGAATCCTCATAGCAAACAAAGGAAAACTCTACAAAACAACATATACCAAAAAGACTCCATCCTATAAATAAACCAAGAGGAAATCCTTAACAATATTCAAATTACATACAGAAAAATTAATAAAAAGCACAAAGTAGTATAAACAGAAAAGACCCAGAAAACAAAAATGGTTTAAATACACCAGATCAGGCAGAGACTGAATAAATGGATTTAAAAAGTGATCCAACTGTAATTTCAAAATCAGTGACACAAATTGAACCTAACAACTGAAAAAAGGAATGGTTATATTCGTATTAGATTCAGTGCAAGGAAAACTATAAGACACCAAAGAGATTATATAATACTAAACAATCCATCTAGCTAGAACACAAAATGAATCTGAATGGATATGCACCAAATGTCAGAGCCTCAAAATGCATGAAGCAGAGACAAATCTCAGAAGCCGGCTAATACAAACATCACCAGTTGGTTTTGAAAAAATTTATTTAAGAGGCAGAGAAAAATAGAGAATGGTTCACTCTCCAAATGCTTATAATGACTTGGGCTGAAGCAGGAAACTCAATCTAGGTCTCTGATGTAGGTTCCAGGAGCCTTGTTCTTGAGCTATCGCCACTGTTTCCTGGGAAGCTCCAGTCAGGAGCTGGAGCTTGAAATAGACCTAGATACTCCAATCTGGGGCACAGGCATCATATCAGTGCCCCAACCACTATGCTAACTGCCTCCCCTGACCTATTTTTGACAAATGTGAAAAAGGAGTTTAAAGGAGCAAAGATAGAGTAGTATACCTACTATATTAAGAACTCTCAAAACTCAGGAGGAAAAAAGAAATTGTACTCTTTTTATTTAACCCAAAGAAATATTTTTGTTGTTGCAGTTCACACTGCAGTTAATGGTGAAATGTTGTACCTCATTGTGCTTTACACTTAAAAAAAAAAAAAAAAAAAGAAAGAAAAAAAAATGGAGGTCTGTTGCAACTCTGTAATAAGTCTACCAGTCCCATTTTTCTAACAGTATGTGTGTGTTCGGTATCTTTCTCACATTTGGTACTTTCTGCAACATTTTCAACCTTTTCCTTATTCGATTGTTAGGGTAGTCTTTAATCAGTGATTTGATTTTACTATCATAACTGTTTTGGTGCTACAAACATGCCCATATATATAAGACTGTGAATTCAACGGATAAACAATGTATGTGTTCTGACTGCTCCATGGATAGATAGGTTGTTTCTTTTTCCTTTACCTTTGGTCTCCCTCTTTCCTATGACACAGTACTAAAATCAGGCCAATTAATAACCCAAAATGGCCTCTAAGTATTCAAGTGAAAGAGTCACACATTTCTCACTTTAAATCAAAAGCTAGAAATCATCAGGCTTAGTGAGAAAAGCACATCAAAAGTGGAGATATGCCCAAAGCTAGCCCTTCTGAGTCAAAAAGCCAAGATGTGAATGCAGGAGAAGAGTTCTTATCGGAAATTAATGTGCTACTCCAGAAAAAGCAAAGGCAGTTTTATTTACTGTTGATATGGAGAGAAAGTTTAGTGGTCTAGATATAAGAACAAACAACTTTCAAAGCTATAAAGGGCAAGTCAATCCCTGGCTTCCAAACTTCTAAGGATAAGCTGACTCTTGTTAGGAACTAGTGCAACTGGTGACTTTAAGTTGAAGTTAATGTTTATCTGGTCAAGGGCTCTTAGGAATTCAATTAAATCTATTCTGTACCTTTCAAATGGAGACCAAGGCATGGGTAATAGCATTATCTTTACAACAAGCCTACTACTGAGACCTAGTGCTCAGAAACAGATTCCTGCTCATATTGACAATGCACCTGGTTACGCAAGAGCTCTGATATCTTCATGCCTGCTAACACAACATCTTTCAGCAGCCAATGGATCAAGGAGTGGTCTTGACTATAAAAACTCATGATTATATTACAAACACATTCCTAATTTTATACATTACTGTCTATAAGTTTGCCTATATGGAAAGTATTATTTACAGACAAGGTCTAAAGGATAACGCCCCACCACTTTGGTGAATCAGTTTTTCTTTTTAACAATTAAGTACCTCACCTAATCAGAACAGAGTCTCTGGTATAGCCACCGTCATATTCTGTAGTTTCTTCTAGTGCCTGGAAATCTAGATTCTGCAAATTCAAGAAAATATGTCTTAACATCTTGTATACTACACCATTAAAAGCCATATATCAATATATGAATTTGTTTTCTGCAGATATCTGCTTTCTTACCCGGCTTCCACATATAAGCAATTCAATTTCTTCTGGTCTAAATAAGTACTTTAAGGGAGATTCATTGGTCACCATATGAAAACCTCTGCGAAAAGCCTTGAACTGTTTTTCTACTGATTTATTCAGAATGTAGTCAGAATAGAGATTAACAAATTCCTGTAGAAAACAAGAACTTCTTAAAATGCGCTATACAAACAAAACACAACAAGCCATTAGTCTGAAAAGTGTTTTTATTTTCTCAAGGAAAAAACATTCAATATTTTTTAGACTTATAATTTTATATACACAAGGAAAATAATTAATTTCATAGCTTTCTACAACAGTCAAAATAAAGCTATCAAAAGGCAACCTAAGTATATGGTTTATAGATGTAAATTTCAATATTATATTAAACAGGACTGAATATGAAAGTTGAGGCCTTGATACAAACTATTTGATACAGTTTCCCTAAACTAAGTATGCAAACATAGACAAATTTAAACTATGTGCACATCTACTTACAAAAGCCAACAGTTTTAACCAAGTGTAAAGTACCTGATTTGAGCAAACCAGAAAATTACATGTTTTCTACTACATTTGGTGAACTACCTACTATATCCACTTAAGCAAAAATGCTGGTGTTTTAACTTGATACTTTAGTTACCATAGCAAAAATCAGAAAATGCACTTTGTGTCCTGAAAAGAGCGTAACATTTTATTAAAAGATTTATATTAACAAGATTCTTTTAATGGTATACTAAATTATGGTAACTTTGTGATTACCACCTTTTATAGTCAGTAGAAACATTTATGTAATGTGAATATATTTCTGAAGAGCATTTTTTATATCACAAATATATATACATTCACAAAGAAATATATACATAGAGATTAAACACAATTATCATTGTTTTTGTGATAAGGACCTTAAAACCAGTATGAGAAAAAATCTGCTCCTTTCTTGCTGTATACTATAGCAATGCTACACTGTTCTATTCACTCTCTCTCTCTTGCTCTTTCACTGTTCTTTCCCTAAAGGGATTTGGTACTCACCTGTGTTTTCATGCCAGTTCTACCATTTACATCACTGATTAGGAGATTTCTTGTTTCTTGATTTCAATCATATTAAATACTTCTTGGAATGTTATAAGCACACCTGCTTTGAAGTTAATAAACAAACCAATGGTGATATAATAAACTTATTTACCTTCCTGTTTTCATTTGTAATTGGAATTTTGTCACCATTTTCCTTTAGATCATACATCATTGGGTTACCAAAAAGATCTGTCTGTGATATCTGGAAAGTGATCATCATATCATCTTCCACATTACCTTCATATTCCAATAAATCCTTTAAGCTCTGATATAGAACCTTAAAATCAGAAACAGAAAATTGAGGCTATCAATAAGTGCACAAAACAGTAAATAGTTTATATGATTTTTCTTGAAAAAAAAAATTGTCAATAAATATTAAAGTACAAATATCCATTGTTTCCCCTTATAGAGTTTACAATCTAGAAAAGACAGACTCTCAGGCACTGCTGTCATACCATTTTCTGAGAAACCTCACACCACCATCTTAACAGTGGATTTCACATCGACAGTATCTTAAGGTGGCAGAGTACCGTGGAACTACAGCCACGAAGTTACTAAGCCAGAACAACTATTACTGTACCTGTCAATTTCATTTTAAAAAAAAGTTTATATAAAAATTTCTCCTTTTAAAATATTCATGGTATAGCAATAAGATTAAAACAATTTCATGTTATTCAATATAAAAATCATCAAAGATTCCAAACAAAATCTAAGAGACTGTATAAAAAATGGCAAAGGACTTACTGGGTGAGAATCTCCCAAGTCACGAAAAGTTCCTTTTTTCCCCATTAGCTTCCTGTAGACAACCATGGGAAAATGTACATCCAGTATACAGTTATTGTAAATAGCCAGACCCAGTACTATGCCAATCAAAGTAAATTGACCCTCAGTTTCAAAAGAAGATGGGTTAAACCAAAACAATTTTGTGGATTCATCATATGTGAACATACCTACAAAAACAATTGTAAAAAGATATTAATTTTGTATTTTATTTCAGACCTATGAACATTATCAATGTAAACTTGAAATAATTATACATTTAAAAATTATACCTCGAAACCTTTTATTGAAGGTACATAAACTTCATGCACTTTGTATATACAATCTTAGAAACAGTAACTCTTCCTCGCCACTCTCCCTCTCCACCAACTCCCACCCTTCTTCTTCCCTCTCCCATTCTCACTTTATATAAAGATCTATTTTCAAGTAACTTTATATTCATAAGATTAACCCTATACTAAGAAAAGAGTTCGAAAAATAGTATGGAAAATTAAATCTGTTCCTCAACAGTCAAGGGCAGTTCAAAACCGTTGCAGCTCAGAGCATAAATATCACTTCTATAAATTACCTTTTAGGCACTCTATTAGTTGCCACAGATCAGGAAGAACATATTGTATTTGTCTTTTTAAGACTGGCTTATTTCACTATGGATAATGGTTTCCAGTTGCATCTATTTTGTTGCAAACAACAGGATTTCATTTCTCATACGAAATTTACATACACTAAGTAAACTAAAAATGTTTTTCTATTACATCATGACTTAATAAAACAGTACGTGGCGAATGGCAACAAGCTAAGGAAACACAGTAATTAACAAGTTTGGCAGCACTTCTACAAAGTCAGAAAAGCTGTTAAGTTTTCTAACCTTCTAACACATGATTAATTCACACATAATTATCCACTCAGTGGCTGAAAAATAAATGCAAAAACAGAAGAAACAGGACTATTCTACTCTGAAAATATTTCATTTATTAAAGCATAATCTGGGGCCAGTGCCGTGGTGCAGTAAGTTAATCCTCTGCCTGTGGTCCCGGCATCCAGGTGGGCACTGGTTCTAGTCCCGGCTACTCCTCTTCCAATCCAGCTCTCTGTTATGGCCTGGGAAAGCAGAAGATGGCCAAAATCCTTGGGACCCTGCACCCACATGGGAGACCAGGAGGAAGCTCCTGGCTTCGGATCGGCCCAGCTCTGACTGTTGCGGCCATTTGGGGAGTGAACCAACAGAAGGAAGACCCCTCTCTCTGTCTCTACTTCTCACCGTCTGTAACTCTACATCTCAAATAAATAAATAAAATCTTAAAAAAAAATAAAAAAAAAAAAGGTAACCCACATCTACTTTTTTTTTTAATTATGGTAAGGTTTTTGTTTTTTCAAAATCAGATAATGGCTTGTGATATTTTTCTAGCATTTTTTTTAATAAATTTGTATGTATAAATTTAATAAACGATACAATTAAAGAAAGCTATTTAATACAATATTAACTGTGAATCAATATAAGTAAAGTTTTCTAGTCTTCCAGTTTCACATATTTTTCACTATTCAAAACTCAAACATAGTTTTTGGTTTAGCTCTCTGAGTTTGAGTAAGACCAAATTAACATTTTCTGTTTCAAATAAATGGGTAAGAAAAAAGATAAATATTTTAATTAAATTTACAACTTTTTCAGTTAAATTGTTTTTATCAGTTGTTACAATGCAGCTGAATAAGTTAAATCTGAAAAAAATCTGTAATTTCCAAAAGGACTAAGAATTTGAATATCAAATAATAGAAAATACAAATATATTTCAAAATCCATTGATAAAAATACTGAAAAAAATTTAAATTTTCCTTGATTTTCACTTTCAATTTAACTTTAAATTTAGTTTAAGTTAAAAAAGGAATTTCAAAATCTCTCCTTAATAATTAAGAGCATCTATTAAGCACTGGGCAGTTTCCTATTACAATGTTCATTAAATATGGTTTGAAATAATGTTCATAAAATAATGGTTTGAAAATCATCCAATTCATACTTGAGTTCTACTCTTTTTGCAGGCCAATATATAACCTGGTAAGAGTATCATTTTTCATCATGCCAAAAACAGTTCAATTAATAGAAACATTTGAAGAATTTGTCACAAATGCATGTCCTTGTTCTGAAGAACAATAAACTATAATAGGAATATAAATTACATAGGTAAACTATTCTCATCTTTGTATATGAAAGATAACAAGTTTGAAATCAAAGATGATTTCATTTTGGGCACATTTTTTCAAGTGCCTAGAAGAAAAACACACTAAAGATGTCTCTTATAAAAATATTTCTTTTTGGCCGGTGCTGCAGCTCACTAGGCTAATCCTCCGCCTGTGGCGCTGGACTACCGGTTCTAGTCCCAGTTGGGGCGCTGGATTCTGTCCCGGTGGCTCCTCTTCCAGTCCAGCTCTCTGCTGTGACCCGGGAAGGCAGTGGAGGATGGCCCAAGTAGTGCTTGGGCACTACGCCCGCATGGGAGACCAGGAGAAGCACCTGGCTCCTGGCTTCGGATCGGCACAGCGTGCAAGCTGAAGAGGCCATTTGGGGGGTGAACCAACAGAAGGAAGACCTTTCTCTGCCTCTCTCTCTCACTGTCTAACTCTGCCTATCAAAAAAGTTTTTTTGATATTTCTACTGCCATTACTAAAGTTATTTTATTAATTGGACCTGTTTATTGTATTTCTTGAAAACATTTTTGCATATAATACAAGTATACTAATATTTCACATTTCTAGATAAATCAGAAACTACAATTTTAAGGTTCACAAAACTCAATGAGCTTACACATTAATGCCTTATAAGTTCATAAATAAATTTTATATCTCAAAAATGACACAGTTTTATGTGTCTTTGGTTTATTCTGAACAAAATACAAATAGCAAAGCCTTCTGATTATTAAAATAAGCTAAAGTAGCATTAGTCTTACCATTATTTATGTCATAAACTCAACATTTATTTCTCTTTATACACATAAACACACACACACTCCAGTCCCCTCTAATTAAGAACAGTTACAGAAAGGTCAATTTAATGTACCTATAGCTACTAAAATTCAAAAGACTGTCAAGAGCTCAACTCTAAAGCTTAAAGGAAATGCCATGCATTATTCTATATTAATTACAGTCCTCACAACTTTGAGGGTACCCTTAGTGAAGACCTTTTGCTGTAACTGTCAAAGCACTCAATTTTAAACATAAGCAAGCTCAATAATGTCTAATTGATTACACTGTAGAAATTGAACCAATTCAGAACTATATAGTAAAGATGATCCAAAAGGTAGTGTCTCTGCCCTTTTCTTCTTGGACTATCACAAGAAAAAGGATAAAAAACAGAACTCTGATAATTCACTGTCATATTGACATAAATAATCTAAAAGTACACTCAGAATTTTCCTGGGTCAAATATTATTAAGTGCAGGGAGGAGGCTATGGAAAGAAGGTTCTACAGTTAAAGATTTGGGGGAAATGTTACATTACTCCCCAAGAAACCTCATAGTGAATAAACGTAACTAATTTGATATTAGCCAGTGTTTCTAAACTGTTAACATAATACACCTATGAGACATTCTCACAACATTCTTCAAACCACTTGAATTTCAGTACACCACGAGTTTGATCAGTGTTTTAGATTACAAAGAGCAAACAAATCCTTTAATTATTCTAAATGTAGTATTCTAAAGTGTTTCTAATTCAATTTACCAGAGACAGTTTCCTTTACTAGAATATCTGGCTAAATAAGTCTAAGTAAGAACTTGAATAAGTATTGCAAAGCAGTCCCTGAAATCTACAATTTTGGTCCTTATATGTATATATAATCCATGCAAAAAATATAAAATATTTATAAACCAATATGAACAAACTCTTAATTGGGAATAAGTAACACCACCATAACACTAAAATATTTACCAATATCTGGATTGAAGATTTCCTCCACAACCAACTGAAAAAATTCTTTGGAAACACCTCCCTCATCAACTCCTTGTTCTCCTTCAAATTCCACATACAACTGTTTCTTCAAGTCTGCAGGATTTTCCATAGCGATCATCTCTAGCTAATGATTGAAAAGATAAGTGTGAAAAATAAGATGACTGTCAGTAACAGGATAAAATCAAAATAAGAAATAGAAGCAACATAAAAACAATGAGTAGGATTAAGGAGGCAAATAAAAGATACTGACACTGCTTTTCAAAGGAAGTAAGAAGCCAAATGATTAAAAGGCAGTGAAGACAAAGATTCAGTCTCACAGACATACAGGACAGAAAAAAATCATCATTTGATTTGTTATGAAATTAATACATTGTAGAAAATTAGATTCTCTTATTTGTATATGAGTGTTCAACATGGAAAGAACCCAAACATCTAAGTGATTTTCTAAAACAAAATCACTTCAGCAAAAACTGATGAAATACAGGAATTTTACTTCAAAACTGGCCACTAGTAATTGTGTTTATTAGAAAATAGACTTAAGAGTTAAGTCTTAATATTTATCAAGTTATACATAATTTCAATTACAAAAAATACACTGGGGGCAGGTATTTAGCCTTGCCATTCAAACACCAACTGGGACACTTACATCCCCATAGAAGTGCCTGCATTTGAGTCCACTTCTAATTCAAGGTTCTTGCTAATGTACACCCTGGGAGACAGCAAGTGATGACTCAAGTGATTGAGTCTTTGCTATCCACTGGGTTTGGGTTCCTGGCCTCTGGCTTAGGCCTGGCCCAGCCATGGTTGCTGCAAGAATTTGGGGAGTGAACCAGCAAAGGAGCTATCTCTATGCTCTTTTATTTATTTTTTTTTTTGAAGCTTCAAAAATACACTGAATAGGGAAGCAGTTTATTATTTCTCACAATAGCATTTAGCATAAATTACTTTTTAATGGATTAGAAAGAATCTTATACCCATATTTTCTTGAAAGCAGGCTAGACATACCCTTGCTCATGTCCTTACCATCTAAGTTGTCAAATCTGAGTATCTAACATTCTCAGCTACAAATCTCTGACCAAGTACTTTTTCATATCTAAAGAATAATGTGATTAATCTGTCACTATGAGAATCATATACACTAAATTAGAGTATGAAATGTTATGTTACAATTTGTTTACTGTTTTATGTATCGAATACTAACTTGTATTCCTAATTATTCATCTTATTTCCTAACTGCCTCCAAATGTCTGTTAGCTGTTCAAAAAAGTCACTCTTCCAAGATGAACACATCCCAAAACAGAGCAAAGGTATTAGTGTTAGAATAAACAGAATTTTAAGAGTGTTTTTGAACAAGGGAAATATTACCAGAGTAACTGTTTTATACAGCCCTACAGTGATTAATTACTTAGGTAACAGTACTCATTTGGACATTATAGTATCTATTTAAAAAACCCAGAATCTTGTAATTTACAAATCTCAGGTAAGGGTACCCTACCTCCATGTTTTTCAAACTGCACCTCATTACTGGTAGTATAATGCTTTTCAGGGCTTCCAATCAGTAAGAAGGTAAAAAAAAAAAAAAATCAGAATGTATTTCACAAAGTAATGGACTTAGTGTTAAACTTTGGTTTCAATTAGATATACAGATGGATATGTGTATTTGCTGGAATGCTGTGTAAAATATTTCTTACTATGGCTTGCAGTGAAAAAAAAAAAGTTTGAGAAAACTGGCTGAAAGTATCAACTGCCCTTGTCCAACTACAGAGTTCTAAGAGTCTATAAATTTAGTCTTTAGCCGTAAAGAATGCCTGTTCTTGTTTTGAGCCAGAATTTTGTAATTAGTTCCAGCTGTCCCTTAACATAAACTTTGAGCTTTATCAAGTAATTTAAGTCTGTTTCTTCATTTGCAAGAAAATAAATGGCACAACAGTCTTAATATTACAAAGTTGTGTTTAATAAAAATATGAGGAAAAGCTCTACAGAGCAGACAATATTATTAAGATAACATATCACACATTGGTAACATTTAAAACAACTTTGCTCTTTGAACAAGATTGACAATTTTGTGTCCTCAAAGGAATCTGACAGCCTATTTCCAAGACTTTAGAGTCAAGTCAATGTAGGTCTGAAAATAACTTTGGGATTCAAAGGTTCTATGTCCTAGTCTTAGTCCTACCTAAGGTATATGATAATAAAACTGAGACAAATTTATTGTTAATTCTTAATACGGTATTACATATCTGTTCACTTCCACCAATCTCTACTCTATGCTCCTCACCTTGATTGCCAAAAGAATTTAATGCATTATGTTCTATTATGGTAACTGTAAACATATAACTTTAACTCTCTTTTAGTTTCATCTGTAAAATAAACATAATATAATTAATTAATACATGTTAAGTGCTTAAGTAAATTCCCCGCACAAAGTAAGAGTCTGTAAGTTTGTTGTTGCTATTACTTCATGTTACTAGTTTTAAAAAATTTTTATTGGCTTGTCTTAAAATTTAAAACCCATGACATTAAAGCACAAAAATATTCCAGGAGTAATAGCAACAACATATAGCACTTGACACACAGCAACTCATTTAATCTCCATAACAACCTTATGAGTTAGGTAATATTAAACCCATTTTATAGAATGGCAACCCTGAGGTAATGAAAGGTTAAATAACTTTCTCAAGTCACAATAAATGTCAAAGAAGAAACCTAAATCAAGTAGCAAGTTTCCTGCTATTATTATGGAAGGGGTTGCATTTATTTTCTTTGGAAAACAACCTCCATTTAGTCAACTAAGAATGATTTTAAAACTAAATTATTAAAGTATATTATTTTACGTGATAAAACATTTAAAACTGAATTTTTTAAATCACAAGTTTTTTTCAAGTTTTTTTTTAACAGTAATTGTACATATGTGCTATGATGTGACATTCAATACATGTATAAAATTAGTACTGATCAAAATTGGGTAATCAACACCTTCCCCCCTTTGATACTGCTCTAACTGGAGGCTCACAGTTTCCTCCTTCCATTTGTTCATATAATATACATTAGGTTATTGTAACTGTAGTCTCCCCAGTATGCTATATATAACACCAGGAATTTACTCCTTCATGTGAACTAATCTGGTATCCATTATCCACAAGTAGTTTTAAATGCAGCAGTATATATGCAAATCAGCAGAATTTGTCCATTAGCACTTTGTAAAGGAGAATTTATACACTTCTCGGAAAGTATTCAGCATACACATGTGGATTTTTATGGATGTGGATTTCTTATGACAATATTTTGAATTAATTTAACATAGAAACTAGCAAAAGGCAGATTACTGAGGGCAAATAAAAACACTGATATAAAATCTACCTCTTCCTGACATATGAGCCCCTCTTCTAAGACTCTTGATTTAATTAATTGTTAGATAAAATGGTGATCTGAACTTTGGCCATGATACTGAAATTCTAAAAATTGACCTGGTATCAAAGCAATCCAGGTACATAAAAAATATACTGCCAGATTTACATGAATCAAAAGGATAATCCCTGACATATCCTGTGCTACTACATAAAACCCATCCTAATCTGTAATTCAAGAAAGATGCCTAAGTGGTATAGATATTAAGTAGAAGTAGTACTCAGATATAATAATAGTTTAAAAATGTTTGGAATGTCTAAGAAAGGGTAGCTGTTTATACTTCAATGCTATCTCTATGCAAAACTGTTGGTGTGTAGGTTTAAACTATTAGAATGGACCTTTCAGATTATCCAGATACATTTAATTTGTTTCTGTTATCTATAAACAAATGAATAATAAGTTTATTATATCTTATAGTTTAATTGTTTAATAACAGCTAAATCACAATTACTTGGTAGCATTTTCTTACCTAGTAGTAATAGTGTGTCCTATATTCAGTGTATCTTAGATTCCATAAAACGCTAACCACTAATTCTTCCTGTCATTGAAGAAAGTCTTAAAAACTCCAGTTAGCAAAAAATGTCTTTTCCCTACACAGCCCTACTGTGTAGTTCAAAATTATTTGTTAAACTGCTATAAAAATAAGAATGAGGCTTAAATAGCTAAGTAGATCCTTATGGAATAAAATGTTGAAAAATAATACTTTGAGACTTGAGGGAATGATCTTAAATCACTTTTCACAGTAATCCTATTTTGTGCTGCTCAAATAACATGACTTTCATAATTGTCAACTGCTTTTAATATTTCAAAAAATTTACACAGGCAAATTATCAGTTGTTTTGCAAGACCTATTTAGATGACTTATTTTTCTAAACTTTTAAAAACTTAATTTTGAAGGAAGGGAAGAAAGGTTAAGGATAAAATCTGCTTAATGTTAATATTTAAGTATCTAAATATGTAAATACCTAAGAAACCTCTTAGCGGGCACCATCTCCATATTTCCACTATATATCAAAGCATCTGACACACAAGACCATAGCAGTGAACTGTTAATATTCAAGTACATACATTATCTAGTAAATTCTGATTTATAAAAGTCCAAGTCAGGGCATCCAGTTTTCACGTAACTAAATAGAACTCACTAAAAAACTCATTAGCATAATTTTAAAAGCTCATTGTTAATTTTATTTTAATAACTGCTTAGAAGGTGACTTCAAAAACTGAAATGGTTGTTCCTTTCAAATCCTAGAGGATAAGTTTTAAAACAGAATAAAGTACCTAAACTTTTGGTGGTTCTCAGTCTTCATGTTTCTAGGTATAAAAAGGGGGCAACAAGGATAGTAAGGCTGAGTAGACAACTCAGCAGAAGGCAGGTGAGGAAGGTGGAGGGACTTTTTAAAGCCTGAAATGAATCCTGAGTAATTTTGTTGTTTTTTTAAAGGATAGGCATGGCGTTCGCTGAACACAGGTGAAAAGTACCCACTCAAAGTCAACCAGGGTATGCAGTTTTGGCATTTACAATTCTGCTGTAACAGTGGATATACACTGATAGACCTCGATGTGCTTTTTATCAAACTTCACTTGCTTTCTTTTAAAAATATATATTTACTTATTTATTTGGCAAAGAGAGAGAGAGAGACTGACCGACCCACCGACCGACTGACCTTGCACCCACTGGTTCACACCCCAAATGTCCATAAACATCCTAGGCTAGGCCAGGTTGAAGTCAGGAGCTAGGACCCCATTCTGGTCATCTGCTTGGGTAGCAGGAGCCCAAATACTTGGGCCACCTTCTGCAGCCTTTCCAGGAACATTAGCACGAAAGCTGGATGGGAAGCAGAGTAGCCTGGACTCAAATCAGTACTCCAATATGGGATGCCGGGTGCAGCAAACAGTGGCTTAACCCGCTGCTGCACCACAATGCCATCCCCCTTCATTTACAGTGTTATAAAGCACTCTACCATTCTGCTAAACAGTAAAAATAAGTTGCTGGTCGCCTACTGTTATTAAGTGTGTTAATTTTCATGTGGCTTAAAGCCACAAAAGTAAAATAAAAACTCATCAGAAGCAAGCAATGATAACTGCTTCATGCAGTTAAAGCTTCTATCATTGTCACCACTCAAAACTGTTTGAGTTGCTTAAAAAATGCTGGATCTTTCTTCAATACTATTTGTCACTTTTAAAAACCAGACACAAAGAAAGAAGACAAAAAAATCCCAATAACATTAAATTCTAAAATGTCAACCAACTTTTACCACTGGCTTACAGTTTCATGAATTCTCAGACAAATCAATTCTAAAACTAAAATACACTTTGAAATAAAACTTTTTGCTGGTTATCATGTATTCCTATTCTTTGTAATTATAAAAAGTTGTCTGTACTTTTAGTTGACATTACATTTCAATTGAAGTTGATGACAAAAAACTAGCAATGATAGGAATACATAACACTTTGAATGGAATAAAACTCTGAAAGCATACTATGATAAGTGGAAATTTTGGTAAAATGTGACTGGCGATTGGTTTCTGTCTACTGGCCGGCTCTATATCCTTACACAGAGACACTAAAATTTATATTTCCTATTGAGGAAAAAGTAAAGAACAAGAGGCATTCCAACTAGAAAAACAGGAAGTACCTGAGCTCCCAGTATTTTCTCAGCTCAATGTCCTGAGATTTGATTGAATATAATATTCATCACTAAATTTCTAGAATAGGTGGTTTTTCCATAAGTTTCAAGACCCATAGTTTTCACTATGGATTTCTAAGTGAGTTGAAACTGTTTAGCAATGTCTTTAAGGTTTTTCTGACTGGCCTAGTGGGGATCCAGACTTTTACTAGCAACATGTACCAACCTGCCCATAGTCATTTCATGAATAAAGTTCACAATAATGTAACTGTGTATTTTCTATGACAAGGAGTTTTTGAACACAATTTATAATGTGATGGTGTACTTACAAATGTAGTCATATCTATACTTATTATTTTGTGTCTCCACATTTCCCCTGTTCCTGTATTCTAGTCTTTTCCCAACACTTCTGAATGCAGACACTTTTAGAATTAATTTTCAAGATTTAGAACACCCATTATATTTCAGAGAGAAAAAAATCATTGTATAAGACAACAAATACTTTGTAGAACACATTTATAACCTTGCAAAAGAGCAAAAGCACACACCTTAAATCCTTAACATCAGAAATACCCGTGTGTTCCTGTGATATATGACACTTTTATTCCAAATAGTCACTTGCAAAATGAATTCACTGGGCTCCATCAGAATACTCTCATCATTAGTTTGTTTTTAAATTAGTATTGATTTTAAACAGCAGCCCAACTTACCCGGACAAGTGCATCATCTATGATATGGTCACGTCTGACTTTGAGTCTCAAATATGGATTCAACTGCTGTCCTTGAACTAAGCTGTAGAGAACAGTGATTCTTCGTTCACTGTACATGCGAATTCTATTGTCATAATATAATCCCAAATTCTTTGTGACAGCATTCAATATAAAGGGACATGTCATAAAAGAGAACTTGTTCTCTGTTTCTACTTTGAAAAAAGTATAATCTTTATCCATTTCTAGAACATCATTCAGTGGTTCATTAATAAATTCTTCAAAAGGGATAAGTGGTTTTCGACAATCCAGAGTTTTAACACCAAGTTCAGTTTCCAGTGGGTCCACCCGAGGACCTTTCTTGTTTCTTCTTTCCTCTCCCAAAAGCTCCTGAAGTGTCAACTCACTGGACTCAGGGATGGGTTCTTCATCATCTTCTTCATTGTGATTTGTGTCCACATCCCCTCCGACTACATTTGCATAGTAAACCATTTTCAAGCACTTGGAAGCAGCAACAATGGCATCATCATCATTCACCAGATTTCGACTGTTAAATTCATTGCTTATGACTTTGTAAGTAATAAGCTGCTGAAATGTTTCCATCATTCTCCGAATCTGGTCTGCACTGTATTTAGACCACAGTCTAATCAGTTTTCCTTGGGCTGCAAGGGGTAGCTTGCTCATTGCTTTGCAAAATAATGGCAGAGCCATTTCCAGATATTCAGGACTGTGGAGATTTCTATTTTCCATTACAATAATAAACAAATTCAGATAATTAGGATCTCGGGAGTATACATTGTGATATGTCAAATCACATTCCACATTAGGTGACAGATATACAAGTGCATTGAGAAAGGCAGTTTCTATTTTTTCATTAGAGAGCAATCGGGTATAGACCCTTCTAATGGCATCAATATCCACAGACACATCATCCGGGCCTAACTTTTGTAAATTGTTGTCTCCCTGTGAACTATCACCAAACCTTGAGGAAGATGCTTCTGAATCCTCTTCCATAGCAGCAGCAGCAGCAGCAGCAACAGCAGCAGAACATGCAGCTTTTTCCTTTTCATCTTCATCCTTGTCTTCATCCTTTCCCTGAAGAGATTTCAGTTCTTCCTTCGTGTGTTGTTTGACTTTCCGAAAGCTCTGGACCAATGCCTCAGCATTTGAAAAAACTCTTCCAATAACACGGATTAAAGGTGAATAATCCTCTCTCTCTCTACATAATTCAAGAATTTCATATACCAAATCTTCAGTTAGGTATGTCACATCTACAAAATTAGAAGAAAAAAGCAAACACTTATTTTCATATTGTGTATTTGTTTACTTAGTCATTATAGGTTATAGTAAAAGAGTCAAATGTTTTGACTAACACTCAGAATTCTATCAAAATATACTTACCTACTTTTTTCAAATAACTACCAATATCAACAGCCTCAACAATTAGTTTACATGCTTTCAATAGTATGTAAACTTTTTTTTTTTTTTTTTTGACAGGCAGAGTGGACAGTGAGAGAGAGACAGAGAGAAAGGTCTTCCTTTGCTGTTGGTTCACCCTCCAATGGCCACCGCGGCTGGCGTGCTGCGGCCGGCGCACCGCGCTGATCTGATGGCAGGAGCCAGGTACTTATCCTGGTCTCCCATGGAGTGCAGGGCCCAAGGACTTGGGCCATCCTCCACTGCACTCCCTGGCCACAGCAGAGAGCTGGCCTGGAAGAGGGGCAACCGGGAAAGAATCCGGTGCCCCGACCAGGACTAGAACCTGCTGTGCCGGCGCCGCAAGGCGGAGGATTAGCCTAGTGAGCTGCGGCGCCGGCCTAACAGTATGTAACTTTTAAAGCCCACAACCGCGCAAATTTTCTACACAATAAAGGAGTATGTTAATATGTGGCTTTAATTTTAAAAATGAACAAATGTATATGTTCACTAACCACAATATGCCTTTTACCTAATCATAAAGCAGAAGCACTATTATCTTTTTTTTTTTTTTTGGTTACTGTTGCTATTCTTCAAATGCTAAGATGGCCAGGTTCAAAGAAAGGTTCCTTCAGCACCTTCTTAAAAACAACCTTGGACCTCCATTTCTATGTATTGAAACCAAGCTGGAGGCAGGTGTTTGGCCTAGTGATTTGTCCCCAGACAGCATGTGGGACATCTGCATCCTATACCTGAGTGCTGGATTTCAAGCCCTGGCTCACCTCCCAATCTAGCTACATACTAATGCACACACACTGTGGTAAACAGCAGGTGATGGCTTAAGTACTTCCCTCCATGGAAACAGAAGACCTATACTGAGTTCTTGGATCCTAGTTTTAGCATGGTCCCATCAACTCCATTTCAAATATTTGGGGAGTGAACTAGAAGATGGCAGCATTCTCTCTCATAAATACTAAAAAAATTTATAACAAATTGGTTCTTTTTGGGTCTTTCAAGTTTATTCAAGGGTGACTATTCTGTGGGTAAGAAGAGTATCATTCTCAAACTCTGAAGATGAAATTGCTATCTGAAAATAGAAATCAAGTTGGAATAAATCTTAAAGTAATAAGTAACAGTTTTTGAGCAATTAAAAAAAAAGCTAGGAAAAAGGCCATTTCTGAGCATACATGTAAAAGAGGGCATATGCAGTCACCAAAGTCTATTTGCTCTTCTTTCTAGGCATAAAAATGGATCACATTTCCTAATTTTCCCAGCTTTTTGAAGCCAAGGCTTTCCCCATTCTGGGTAATGGAACAAAAGGATTTTATTTTAGAAGAAAAAAATAAATGATCTATTTTGTTTACTACATTTCTAGCTTGGGGAGGGCATTGTGGACCACCAGGTTAAGCCATTGCTTAACACATCCCATATCAGAGCTCATGAGATCCTACTTCTACTTCCTATACAACTTCCAGCTAACTCACCTAGGAGACAGCAGTTAACAGCCTAAATATCTGGGTTCCTGCCACCCACAGAGACACAGAGTTCCTGGCTCTTGGTTCTGCATGACCAAGCCCTGGCTGTTGCATCTATCGGGGTATGAACTAGCAGCTGGAATCTATTTTTCTCTCTCTTTCAAATATATAAAAACTTATTTTTATAAGGAGGATACAGATCAAGCATAAGAAATAACCTTAATCTATTTTCATCAAGAGACTGGTAGAGTTTTCATTAAATCAAATACTTAAGATAATTTTAAAGGCACTCTGACAATCCTACTTTACTGTGCCAAATAAACCTTTATAAAAGTCATGCATAACATGAAGTTTCCCCTATTTCCCTATACTCATAAGTAAGCTACTCCACTGTTACAGACACAGTAATTATATCTTGATGTTTCACATCATTATCATCTTCAAAACTGTATACCATTCATATTTGAAGCGCCCAAACAAGTTCGAGCAAACCAAATTCATGTAAATGTTAGGGTCCGAAGAACTTTTAAGTTCTAATTTTATTTTAAAGATTTATTTTACTTATTTGGAATGCTGAATTACAAAGATAGAGAGGGAGAGATTTTTTTAAGTTTTATTTTATTTGAAAGGCAGAGTTACAGAGAGGCAGAGCCAAAGAGAAAGAAAGAGGTCTTCCATCCACTGGTTCAAACCCCAGATGGCCTAAACAGCCGGAGCTGTGCTGATCTGAAGGCAGGAGCTTCTTCCGGGTCTCCCACACGGGTGCAGTGGCCCAAGCATTGGGCCATTTCCACTGCCTTCCCAAGCCATAGCAGAGAGCTAGATCAGATGTGGAGCAGCTGGGACTTGAACCAGCACCCATATGTGATGCTGGAACTGCAGGTGGTAGCTTTACCTGCTATGCCACAGTGCAGGGCACTAAATTTTCTATCTCCTAGCTCACCTCCCAAATGGCTGCAATGGCCAGGGCTAGGCTGCCATGTGCAGCATCAGCATCCCACATGGGCACCAGTTCAAGCCCTGGCTCCTCAACTTCCGATCCAGCTTCCTGCTAATGTGCCTGGGAAAGCATTGGAGGATAGCCCAAATGGTTTGGCCCTTGCACCCCATGGGAAACCCAGGTGAAGCTTTTGGCTCCTGGCTTTGATCTGGCTCTGCCCTGGTCGTTGCGGCCAATTGGAGTAAGCCAGCAGATTGAAGATCTCTCTCCTCTCTCTCTGTAACTCTATTACAAAGAAACAAATAAATTTTTTAAAAAAATGTGATAAAAGAAATGCAAGCTACTTTAAAGAAAACAGAACACAGGACTGAGGTTATTAAACATAACTAAATATATTTTAAATGTAAATACTTCATAGTCCCTGATTAGTGTCAAATAAATGTTTAAATTATCTGAAATTCTAGCTTCAGAGAAAAAGGTCAGGGACAACTACAACAAAGTTGTTTCATATTATGAAGCTTGTTTTTAAAACAATTATTATCCTCTGGGAAAACTCCCTTAATATTTTCTATCAAAGGTTGCCACTGCTCCTTTTGCTGGTACTCCATTTGTGTCTGCATCCTTCCAGTCTACTTTGTCTTTATTTTTGTCACTGGGTTCTTTCACAGCTTATCTAGGCCCTTTATGATTTAATAAAATCAGAGAGAATATGTATGGTTACAGAACTAACTCTTTAACTAATTCACGGGGCCAGCGCCGTGCTCAATAGGCTAATCCTCTGCCTGCGACACTGGCACCCCAGGTTCTAGTCCCGGTCAGGGTGCCGGATTCTGTCCCAGTGGCTCCTCTTCCAGGCCAGCTCTCTGCTGTGGCCCGGGAGTGCAGTGGAGGATAGCCCAAGTGCTTGGGCCCTGCACCCACATGGGAGACCAGGAGAAGCATCTGGCTCCTGGCTTACGGATCACCGCGGTACACCAGCCGCAGGGGCCATTGGGGGGTGAACAAACAGCAAAGGAAGACCTTTCTCTCTGTCTCTCTCTCACTGTCCACTCTGTCAAAAAAATAAAATAAAAAATAAATAAAAATAAAAAAAATACTAATTCGCAGGTTTGTTTTACTAAGAATACATAGATATCCTCTGTCAAACATCAGTAATATCTCCTCGAAAAACTGCTTCATTATTTTAATTGGAAAACACTATGGAACGTTCCCATAAAACAATGCAAAAACCCTATCAAATTTTCTGAAATTTAATATAAAATTTCAGAAAATACCATAATATTACACATATATATGTTAGGACATAAAACCCTTTGTGTCCTAATCATCAAATCATAAGGTTGTTAACTAAGACCGGCACTGTGTACAGTAAGATGACCTATCGAGTTACACATCCTCCGTTGACATGTCCTACTTTACTAAGTGATTCTGACATTCTACTAATCCTACCTAGAATGTACCAAGTTTAAAACATTAAACCAAGGCAGGCGCCGCAGCTCACTAAGCTAATCCTCCACCTGCGGCACTGGCACCCCAGGTTCTAGTCCTGGTTGGGATGCCGGGTTCTAGTCCCAATTGCTCCTCTTCCAGTCCAGCTCTCTGCTGTGGCCCGGGAGTGTAGTGGAGGATGGCCCAAGTCCTAGGGCCCTGAACCCACATGGGAGACCAGGAGGAAGCACCTGGCTCCTGGCTTCATATCAGCGCAGCGCGCCGGCCGTAGCAGCCACTTGACAGGTGAACCAACGGAAGGAAGACCTTTCTCTCTGTCTCTCTCTCTCACTGTGTAACTCTGCCTGTCAAAAAAAATATATTAAACCAAGTTTCCAGATATATGTATAAATTAGTTTAAAATCATTACAATTAAATATTCATAAAGTTTGGGTATCGATAATAAATGCATTCTACTGAGAACACATTAAATGAAGAGATATTTATAAATTTACCTCTATATTTTGTGATACAGAAGTGTGTGTTCCTAAAAATACTCAATCTATAATATAATTTTGCATTTAAGAAAATTTATGCAAAAGCAGAGTTTGGGGCAAACAACTCAGCAACAATACAACACTGTAACTAGAGCTAACAAATATGATGATGAAATAAAAAAACTCCTACTACAGTTAAAGCATCTTTAATTCCTAACAGAAATACACTATAGTAAATACTTAACACTGGAAGAAAACAAGAGGAAGAGATAAGAAATAAGGCCAAAACTTTATGTAGTCGAGCAAAAAACAGGGGCAGGAGTATAAAGACTAGGAGAACCACATACTAAGCACCTCTAAGATGGGAACAAATTAAGTACACTCCTCCAGAGGGGGTGCATTTAGCTTTGCCAGTACATTCTACATTCAGTTCCTGTTAGATTGTAGGTGCAAAGTTCCTGCACAAATATATATAAAGGCAGTCTACGCAGCTTTCACCTTGTATATCCTGACAAGATTCACCTATTTTCCATAGTGTGTGAGCTAATTTACAATATGAAACTCTATCTTGAGCAACAAAGTTGTGTAAATTTATGAAAACAGCTTTATTTGTGGAAACAGAAGATACAACCCAATTCTACATCATTAATTCACTTAACATGGATTCAAATAATGTTACTGAAAATTTTAGAGGCATTCTCTTACATATGTCTTAGGTAAAAAGCCTTCTGTCTTAAAACGCAGTTGCCTCTGTTGCTGTTCAGCCTTGCCAATCATTTAGAAATTTGATTCCTGGGGCTGGGCGTGGTATAGCAGATTAAGCTGGTGCCCTCCATAAGCACCAGTACTGAGTGGCAGCTGCTCAACTCTGATTCAGCTCCCTGGCTAATGTGCCTGGGAACGCAGTAGAAGCTGGCCCAAGTATTTGGGCCTCTGTCACCATGGGAGATCCAGTTGGAATTCTGGGCTCCTGTCTTCAGCCTGGCCCAGCTCTGACCATTGCAGACACTAGGGAGTAAACCAGTGAAATAAAGATCACTTTTTCTGTCTCTCCCTCTCACTCCACTTTTCAAATAAATAAAATAAATCTTAAACAAAAAAAAAATCTGATTCTCTTATTACTAATATTCATTACATTCACTGTGAGGGGGGAAAAAGCTTGGAGTTTAGGATTGGTAGCTTTAAACATTTTGAAATCCACAGGTAGGCCTTTTCATAATGTGCACTTTCCATGATCTTTTTTATTTGGAAGATTATTGTACTTCTATCCTTTTAACATAGCAAAAGATCGGTTCTACTACACTGTGATGTCTTAATGACACCCATTATGGGGCAAAACAAAATGCGCACATTTAAATCTGCAATATGGTTTTCCACCAACAATTCTCAATTAAAACTAAGACATCTTACCTTTAAAATCAATTCGAGGTCCTTTTCCTTCCTTCTTATTCATTTTTATCTCAGAGTTGTTAGGGGCACCTTTCGAGTTCTCAAGGTAAGCTGAGCTTGCTCCTTTCTTGGAGGGATGAGGATCACAGAGTTTTGCATTAATCTTATAAAGCTCAAGGGCTTTAATAGCTGCTGCATTGTTATCCATACGATGAAACGTTGGACAGGAAGCACAAAACTCATTCGTGCAGGCCTCATTTCCACAGCCCTCAGTTAACTGATGGTAGTAGCGTTCTATTAGATGCTTTGCAGCTGCTCGCTTCCTGTACCAAACATTCAAACAGTAAGCACAGTGATTAGTACAGCTCTCAGGTACAAAGCTCAACATATCATCATGGCAAAAGTTAGTAAAGCACTGAGGTAATAAATCTGTATATTAAGATGATATGTAAAAGACAGAGATCTACTATTTACTCACAACTATTAACTACTGATACAATTGATAAATATTTTCAAAGAGACCATGATAAAGAATGGCAATGCTTATTGAAAGCACAGTTTTAATAATGGTTTCCTTTAGTTAAAAAAGAAGGGACTTGATGTTATATGTGGTTAAACTGCTTAACACATTTTGTTATTTTATCACCTAAAAACTAGCACCATGAAAATGAGGGTTCATTACAAGCATCAACCCAGTCTTCCTTTAACTAATCACAATTTTATTTCTACAGTTCATAAATACTTGATTTGCACTTAACACAGATTTTGTATCTAAATGAAATAATTTTTCCCAATTATCAACCATATGGGAGATTTAAAAATAAATTTACAGATGAAATATCAAAAGTTAGTGCTATACTGAAAGAAACAGGCTCCACAATAAACTTACAAACCCAAAACTTATCATTAATCTCTTCATTAATTCCTTCTCATAGGAACATGTAATCTTTAAGTTCCTTTTGGGCAAAATCTAATATTCCTCTTACTTTGTGAACTTAAAGTACATTCCAGCAGAGCTACTGAGAATATTGAGGAAGGATTATTTCATCAAGAAGTTGGGCTACATAATCCATTAATATGGGTTATTCAACTCTAAAATGCTACTAACTGATGATATGATATCATAATTTAAGTAGTCTACTGAATTCAGAGAAACTAATTTATAGGTTTTCGGTCTGGTCCAAAATTCACAAGCATAGGAATAAAAACTATCAAGAATCAAATCTCTTAAAAAAAAGAAAGAAAAAGAATTCACCTAATTTAATTCTCTAAAGAGTTTTTCAACTATCTAAAACATAAAACTAAATGGCCAATAGCACTAGAGTTTACATCTTGTTAATCAGGAGAACTCAACAAGATGGCAATTCAGTAGATAATGGACACAAGTCCAATTTTTTCTCAAAAGAGCACCAAGATAGACAACAAAGAGTAATCATTCAAACACATTCAAGCCATTCTGGTGCTTATACTTTTGAAATGTTCCATGCAATGTACCATTCGTTGCATGCAAATGGAGAAGAAAAACCCACAAAGCACATTTAAAAACTGCACAAACATGACATAATATTATATGTAGCTACTAACAACCAATTTTTGAATATTAAAAATTATTATTCCTACAAAATAGGAAAATGACAACACATAAAAGAAGTGAAATATAAAATCTAGAACGCTTAAAATATATATTGTTATTCTTCAGTAAAGAAGGGGATTTCCCTAATAAGAAAATAAATGAGTATTTCTTTTCTGAAGTAAATGCATAAAAAGCACCAAAACCCTCAAAAATGGGGGCTGGGTTTGTGGTGTAACAGGTCAAGCCACCACCAGCAACACAGGCATCCCATGGGTGCAGGTTTGAGTTTCAGCTGCTCCACTTCCAATCCAACTCCTTTATTGTGCTTGGGAAAGAAAGGTAAGATGGCCCAACTCTTTGGCCCGTGTATGTACATGGAGATCCAGATGAAGCTTTGGCCTGGCCCAGCCCTGACCTCTGTGGCCATTTGGGTAATGAACCAGCCAATGGAAGATCTCAATCTTGAACTCTCTATCTCTATAACCAGGCCTTTCAAATAAATAATTAAAAAAAATCAAAAATATAAATATCACATTAATTACCGATTTCAGTTGTAGAAAATAAAAATTATACAAGGATCTGGGGAAAAATCAGCATGCTCAACAAAAGGGCATTATTTAAATGATTTGATATGAATTGAAACAATAAATAAAAAATTAGCAATATCTAAATTTGGCAAAAAAAAAAGTCTTCCTAATACATCACTAAATTGACAGAAGTCAGTTACAAAGTAGTAGGTTATTATTTCAAAGTGTTAATAGTCATTTTTCTCTGGATGCCATGATTTTTAAAAATTCGTCCTTTTTGTATTTTTTTCTATGATAAGCATGTTACTAGTATATTAAAAGTTAATCAACATGAACAGAGAAAAATACAGCAACTTCAAAACTTCATGATTTGAAGCACCCCAAAATTTACTAAAGTATCTTCATGATTTTAAAAGTTTACCAAAGTCAAAATACTATAGCTATTTTTCTTAATAAGAACCATCACATTTTATCCTAAAAAAACCAAAAAAACTTCTCATATACATAAAACTTCTATATACAATGAATAAAGAAGTATGAACAGTAAAAATACACTAAGAAATTAGAACATCTGCGCTAGGTGTTGTCAGAGATGCTTCTAAGTAACTATAAAATTCTGAGCAAGTAATTCTCTAAGCCTCAATTTTCTCATCTCTAAGAATCTTTTCATTGGTTTTACATTATAACTTATTCTAGTAACAGGGAGGTGGTCAAGAAACCAGTAGAAGTGGCTAATGACATTAATGACCAACTGCCAGGCACTCTGACCTACACCATCTCATGACCTTGAGGATTATCTTCACTCTACAGCCAAAGAGAGACACCCTCCCCCCCCAAAAAAAAAACACCTCAAGAAATCAAATCAAATCTTATATTACACAAAGGAAAGTACAGAACCAGTACAGTTCAAGAATAGTTCAAACGTTTCCCAGTATCAGAGTCTAAGTTGCTTCCACTATATTGTTCTAGAAACGCAAATTCACTTCAAAATAGATGCTTTCTGACATTGGCAGTAATGTCTATGGGGGAAAAATCCACAAATAATGTGCATCTGAAAAAAAGTACAAAACCTTCCAATACATCATAATTTGAATCTCATATGTATACAAAGAACCTGGTACCATAAAAGTACACTAAGTATCTTGAGGAAATGTTAGCATTATACTCTGTAAAGTAATGTATTTCTAATTTGTTGAAAACCTATATGCTAGGACTTTATACTCAAATTTTAGCTAGCAGCAAACCTAACAGTAAAAAGCTCTTACTGGGAGGCCAGGCTACCTAAATTCATATGCTAGATCTGCCTTCTACTATGTGATCGTAAATGAATTAATTAACTTTTCTGTGTCTTAGTTGCTTCATCATTAAAATGGTAGTATAATCAATATAATAATCATGGTCTGGAAAACCAAACGTGTTAATACACATAAGGTAATTAGAATACCGTCTGGTACATACTAAGCACTATGTAAGTGTTAACTGCTATTATTGTAATTATCATCCTCACTAGTACATGAGTTGGCAATATTAACTTAGTAGTCCTCAGAAGAATTACATTAACAAATCACAAATCTAATAACAGATCTGAATCCAGGGTTGATTCCAAAATTTCAGCTTTTAATACTACTAACAGAAGATTTAAAAGTAACCCTTTAAACTGGTAATATTTCTCTGTCGCCAGTTTACAAACAGCATCTACACTGATGAGGATGAAAAGGCCACACTAGAATCTCCATGTTACTGGACAAACAACCATATTATACATTATTCTTTGTTTTCTTACCCCAATGACATTTTGAATATTTAAGTGTAACCATATTGCCATCTAATTTACAGTATATGAAAATATTAAATCCAGAACATATTTTGGAAACTTTTTACACTAAAAATTTTTAATAACTTTCATGATTAAAAGTAATTACTGTAAAAGATGCCAAATTCACCTATTACTTGTATTTTAATACCTCACAGACAGAATTTTTTCATTCTTAAATACAGTCATTTGGGGAATCAACCAGATGACTGAAGATCACTCTCTGTCTCTCCCTCTCACCTCTCACTCTGTCATTCAAATAAATACAACTTAAAAAAAAAAAAAAAAAAAAAAGATGCTGTTTGGGCACCTGCATACCATCCAGAGGTGACTGGTTTCATGCCTATGCTCTAGAAGGCAGCAGTGAAGGGTCAAGTACTCAGGTCCCTGCCATCCAGTTGGGAGACCCAGCCAGTTCTTGGCTCCTTGTTTCAAGCTGGGTCAGACCCAGCTATAGCAGGCATCTAGGCAGTGAGTCAGTGGGTGGAAGATTTATATGAGTCTCACATAAATATTTTTAAAGATTATAATCAATAAAACAAAAATCTAGTTCTTAAAAATGACAAACAAAATTGACTAATTTTTAGTTGATCAATAAAAGAAAGATGACTCAGGGTAGACATTTAGCCTAGTAGTTAAGACAATTGTTAGGATGCCCATATCCCACAAGGGAGGTAACTGGATTCAGTTCCCAGCTCTGGTTCTTGATTCCAGCTTCTTGATAGGTTCCTAGTATGCACTGGTGAAATCTCAAGTAGTTAGGTTCCAGCCACCTAAGGGTAAGATCTGAAATGAGATCCTGTCTCTTGACTTTGGCTCTTCAGCCAATGTGGGCATTCAGAAAATGAACCAGGGGATCCTGCATAAATAAATAAACAAAAATTTTTGAAGACTCCTATAAATAAATAGAGTTGAAACATATGTTACTGACATCACAGAAAGATAAAGGATCATTAGAGTATAAGGGAAAATAAATACCAACAAATTTGATAACTTGGAAGAAATGGTCAAATTCTTGGACACTTAAACATAGTAAAGATCTAGTCATAAAGAACTAGAAAGCCTGAACGTAACAACAAAAAGGAACAAGTTTGAATCAGCACCAAAAAGTCTTCCAGCAAGGCAAGGTCAAGGATGAGACTGCTTTACTGAATTGTTTTTAAGATTCCAAAAAATAAAAAAATTTTTCTGAACTCCTTATATGAGCTCAGCCAACACAATGCCGACACTATGGGGCCGGCACTGTGGCTTAGTGGGTAAGGCCACTGCCTGCAGTGCCGGAATCCCAAATGGTCACCGGTTCGAGACCCGGCTGCTCCACTTTTGACCGAGATCTCTGCTAAATCCTGGGAAAGCACAAGATGGCCCAGGTCCTTGGGCCCCTGCACCCATGTTGGAGACTAGAAGAAG